TCAACTCTCTTTCATCAGCTGTCCAGCTAAAGAGCTGCATTCTGGGAACTGAAGGATCTCAAAGTCTCAAAGCAAGAATTAAAATATCCTCATTTAGAAAATACCAAAATGTGAGTTTATGTAAGTGTTTGAGAAGTGACTTCTTTAACAGCCAGATTGCTGTTGCCATTTTTCAGGTCAAAAATGGTTGAAGATTGGTGCAAATCATGCATAGATCCAGAGAGCCTAGATTCAAAGCTGATTTCAGTCACTGGCAAGGTCTTGAGCCACAGATGGCTATATCATTTAATTTAGAATTATATAATAATTTTATTTATTATATGTAGATTTATATATTATAATTTTGTTATATATAATTTATATATTTTAATTTTATAAGAACTGTATAATAATTTAGAAAACCTCAATTTGCTCATCTGTAAAATGGGTGGAATAATAGTACCCATCTCAGTTGCAAGAATTAAAAGAGAAAATATGCAAAAGGTGCTTAACATACTACCTGGCACAGAGTAATTGCTTGTATGTTCTCAGTCATTCAGTCATGTCCAGCTCTTTGTGACCCCATGGACTGTAGCCCACCAAGCTCCTCTGTCCAGGGGATTCATCAGACAGGACTACTGAAGTGGGTTTCCGTTTCCTCCTGCAGGAGAGCAATTGCTTCAGTTCAGTTCAGTCGCTCAGTCGTGTCCAACTCTTTGCAACCCCATGAACCGCAGCACACCATACTTCCCTGTCCATCACCAACTCCCGGAGTCCATCAAAACCCATGTCCATTGTGTCGGTGATGCCATCCAACCATGCCAATCCTCTGTCATCCCCTTCTCCTCCCCTCCTCAATCTTTCTCAGCATCAGGGTCTTTTCAAATGAGTCAGTTCTTTGCATCAGAGGGCCAAAGTATTGGAGTTTCAGCTTCAACATTAGTCCTTCCAGTGAACACCCAGGACTGATCTCCTTTAGGATGGACTGGTTGGTTGGATCTCCTTGCAGTCCAAGAGACTCTCAAGAGTCTTCTCCAACACCACAGTTCAAAAGCATCAATTCTTTGGCGCTCAGCTTTCTTTATATTCCAACTCTCACATCCATACATGACTACTGGGAAAACCATAGCTTTGACTAGATGGACCTTTGTTGGCAAAGTAATGTCTCTGCTTTTTAATATGCTGTCTAGGTTGGTCATAACTTTCCTTCCAAGGAGCAAGCCTGTTTTAATTTCATGGCTGTAATCACCATCCGCAGTGCTTTTGGAGCCCCCAAAAATAAAGTCTGCCACTGTTTCCACTGTTCCCCCATCTATTTGCCATGAAGTGATGGGACCAGATCCCATGATCTTAGTTTTCTTAATGTTGAGTTTTAAGCCAACTTTTTCACTCTCCTCTCTCACTTTCATCAAGAGGCTCTTTAGTTCTTCACTTTCTGCCATAAGGGTGGTGTCATCTGCATATCTGAGTAATGGCTTAGTACTTGCCAATTTAAAAGAGAGAGAGAAATAAAGCTGATCCATCCACCTATATTGCCAGTGCTTAATCTCTTATATATACTAAATAAAATTTTACTGGATTAACTAGTTTGTTTTGGTCTTCAATTTTTATCAAAATGATCTATTATATATCCATAATTTATGTGAATATTTGGGTGTTTTGGCCTAAGCCCCTAATGTTCTTAGTTAGTTCCATCTATTTTCTCAGCGAATTGAGTGTGTGGCAGCAACCTGGAGCACTCCACGTTTCAGAAAGAAGAGGGGCAGCTATGAGGAGTGGCCAGTGATTTGGAGAAAAACCCTGGGATTGTCAGGTTCTATAAGCCAAATGAAAAAAGTATCTCAAGAAAGATGCCGTGAGAAGACATGCCATGTGCTCCTAAGAAATCTAGTAAGCTTAAGGTTCAGGACCAACCATTGGTTTGCCAAGAAAGAAGTCACTAATGACCCTGACAAAAGGAATTTCAATGGAACACGTGAGACAAAAGCCTAAATGGATCAGTTAAGGACTGAGTGAGAAGCAAGGACGTGAAACACCGAACAGACAATATTTTAATGACTTTTTCTATAGAGGGGAGCATAGATGTGATGGCACATTTGGTAAGATATATAAGGTCAAAAGGGAGTTTTTAAAGATGGGATTGTGCACTGATAAAAGCAGCCAAGTAGAAAGGAGAAATAATCAGAGAGAAGAGAGGACGACTGCAGGACTACCATTCACGCAGAGCAGAGGGAGTACCATCAGTGAACAAGTGGTGACATCGGATTTAAATTAGAGCAGGGATAGTTCCTCTAGATAGGAACTGCAGGAAGGTAGAGTCTGCGGTATAAAGGCAGGCAGTTTGCTGAATTTGCGAGTAAAAGATGGAGTGCTTCTCTTCTGATTGTCTCTATTGTCTCAGTCAAATGAAAATGCTGACCAAGTTTCATGCAGTCAAAGCTATGCTTTTCCAGTAATCCTGTATGGATGTAAGAGTTGGACCATAAAGAAGACTGAGCACCAAAGAATTGATGTTTTTGAATTGTGGTGTTAGAGAAGACTCTTGCGAGTCCCTTGGACTTCAAGGAGATCAAACAAGTCAGTCCTAAAGGAAATCAACACTGAGTATTCATTGGATCTCTTCAAGAAAATTAGGGATATCAAGGGAACATTTCATGCAAAGATGGGCACAGTAAAGGACAGAAACAGTATGGACCTAACCGAAGCAGAAGATATTAAGAAGAGGTGCAAGAATACACAAAAAAACTATACAAAAAAGTTCTTCAAGACCCAGATAATCATGATGGTGTGATCACTCACCTAGAGCCAGACATCCTGGAATGTGAAATCAAATGGGCCTTAGGAAACATCACTACAAACAAAGCTAGTGGAGGTGACGAAATTCCGGTTGAGCTATTTCAAAGCCTAAAGCATGATGCAGTGAAAGTGCTGCACTCAATATGTCAGCAAATTTGGAAAAGTCAGCAGTGGCCACAGGACTGCAAAAGGTCAGTTTTCATTCCAATTCTAAAGAAAGGCAATGCCAAGGAATGCTCAAACTACCGCATAATTGCACTCATCTCACATGCTAGTAAAGTAATGCTCAAAATTCTCCAAGCCAGGCCTCAGCAATACGTGAACCATGAACTTCCAGATGTTCAAGCTGGTTTTAGAAAAGGCAGAGGAACCAGAGATCAAATTGCCAACAATCCACTGGATCATTGAAAAAGCAAGAGGGTTCCAAAAAAACATCTATTTCTGCTTTGTTATGCAGAAATATAAGGCTATGCTAAAATAAAGGCTATGCTAAAGCCTTTAACTGTGTGGATCACAATAAACTGTGGAAAATTCTGAAAGAGATGGGAATACCAGACCACCTGACCCACCTCTTGAGAAACCTATATGCAGATCAGGAAGCAACCATTAGAACTGGACATGGAACAACAGACTGGTTCCAAATAGGAAAAGGAGTACGTCAAGGCTGTGTATCATCACCCTGCTTATTTAACTTATATGCAGAGTACATCATGAGAAACACTGGGCAGGAAGAAGCACAAGCTGGAATCAAGATTGCCGGGAGAAATATCAATAACCTCAGATATGCAGATGACACTACCCTTACGGCAGAAAGTGAAGAGGAACTAAAGAGCCTCTTGATGAAGGTGAAAGAGGAGAGTGAAAAAGTTGGCTTAAAACTCAACATTCAGAAAACTAAAATCATGGGATCTGGTCCCAACACTTCATGGGAAATAGATGGGGAAACAGTGCAAACAGTGTCAGACTTTATTTTGGGGGGCCCCAAAATCACTGCAGATGGTGATTGCAGCCATGAAATTAAAAGATGCTTACTGCTTGGAAGGAAAGTTATGACCAACCTAGATAGCGTATTAAAAAGCAGAGACATTACTTTGCCATCAAAGGTCCGTCTAGTCAAGGCTATGGTTTTTCCAGTGGTCATGTATGGATGTGAGAGTTGGACTGTGAAGAAAACTGAGCGCCGAAGAATTGATGCTTTTGAACTATGGTGTTGGAGAAGACTCTTGAGAGTCCCTTGGACTGCAAGGAGATCCAACCAGTCCATCCTAAAGGAGATCAGTCCTGGGTGTTCATTGGAAAGACTGATGCCAAAGCTGAAACTCCAATACTTTGGCCACCTCATGCGAAGAGCTGACTCATTGGAAAAGACCCTGATGCTGGGAGGGATTGGGGGCAGGAGGAGAAGGGGACGACAGAGGATGAGATGGCTGGATGGCATCACCGACTTGATGGGCATGAGTTTGAGTAAACTCCGGGAGCTGGTGATGGACAGGGAGGCCTGGCATGCTGCGATTCATGGGGTCGCAAAGAGTCGGACATGACTGAGCGACTGAACTGACTGAACTGATGCAGCAAGAGAAGCCACGGTAATGAGAAGCCCATGCGCCACAACAAAGAGTAGCCCCCTTTCAGCACAACTAGAGAAAGCCCACGGGCACAATGAACACCTAGTGTCACCAAAAAATAAATATATGAATGAATTTGTTTACTTTTAAAAATTAGGTTGACCAAAAAGTCCATTTGGAGTTTCCATAACATCTTACAGAAAAACCTGACAAAAATATTTGGCCAACACAATAATAACAGGTAACTAGACAGAGAGCTTGTTGGACTGCCAAGTGAGAGTAATTCAGAGAAGGGTTCAAAGCAGACCAGGTTGGGGTACCCTAGGATCTGTTACAAGGAGCACCATGGCCTCCTGAGGTGGCTGAGCATAAACAAGGCTGCCAAAAGAGCCCAAGAAAGGAGGTATCAGTGCCACCCTTTCCCACACATGCCCAGGAGCAGGGCAGCTATGTACATGTTGGAGAGATGATGTTTTTCTTTGACTCGCCCATATTCTAAATGAGACCTTTTACCCAGTTCTAGAAGCCACAGAGCCTCGATAAGCAGGGGCAGGGCTTCCGGAGGCAGGAGTCTCCAGGATCTATAAAGCCCGAACCAACACCACTGGGCATGTCCCCCAAGGACTGTGCATCGCTGGCTTTCTGCTCGCTCCTCCAAAAATGCAGCGGCTGTTGACTCCAGTGAGGCAGGTGTTGCAAGTGAAGAGAGTGATGCAGGAAGCTTCCCTCCTGCCTGCCCGCCTTCTCCCAGCAGCCCACCCCAGGTGAGTCTCGCTGGTCCCCAGGACTGCATGGGTTACTCTTTGAGAAGCAGCGAGGAACCAGTAAAAGAGAGGCATGAGGGCTCATTAGAATCCCAGTCAAAAGTTGACAAGTCTTGGGCACAGCCTTAGGTAAGCAAGTTAACCTCTCAAGGTCTCAGTTACCTCATCTCTAAACAGACAGCCCAGGTATGTTTACAGAATTCCGGGATATCAAACCTCTGCCCCTGCTGATGTCAGCAAGACACATTTTACTCCCCTAGAGTCACAAAGCAGTAGAAATATCAGTACCAGGGCCCCCCAGCACTGTTTTCACCTTTCACCCTAGCCCTGCTGAGACCTTCATGATGCTGTTTCAACTGCAGTGTTAGTAAAACCAGCTGTTGCAAGTCACTGCAGTCAGATTCAGAATGGACTGAGGATAAGAAGGCGTTTCTCTGCTCTCTGATTTCAGGAAAGGGGAACATGAGTGTAAAAGATAAGCGTTTGCCTGTGTGTGTGCAATGTGCTTGTGCACAGAAGCACACACACACTCCTTTCCTTCGTAAACATTCTCCCAGTTCGGCCCAAGTGTTAGCAGTCTCCCAGCATTGATGTAACACAGAAACCACTAGCACCCTAGGGTCCCTAAACTATCCACTCTACTTTATGACTAGCCTTTTCTTACCTCCCATCTCTACATCAATTTCCTTGGATAGGTTTTTAATATTTATTTATTCATTTATTTATTGCTGCATTGGGTCTTTTTCTTTTTGGCTGCACTGGGTCTTCATTGCTGGGTGTGGGCCTTCTCTAGTTGTGGTGAACAGAGTCTACTTTAGTTTCAGTATGCGGGCTTTTCATTGCGGTGGCTTCTCTTCTAGTGGAGCATGGGCTTTAGGTGCACAGGCTTCAGTAGTTGCAGCACATAGGTTCAGTAGTTGTGGCACATGGGCTTATTTGCTCCATGGCATGTGGAATCCTCCTGGACCACATGTGTCCCCTGAATTGGGAGGCAGATTCTTAACCACTGGACCACCAGGGAAGTTCTTGCGTGTGCATGCTAAGTAGCTTCAGTCATGTCTGACTCTTTATGACCCTGTGGACTAAAGCCCACCAAGCTCCTCTGTCCATGGGATTCTCCAGGCAAGAAAACTGCAGTAGGTTGCCAAGCCCTCCTCCAGAGGATCTTCCCAACCCAAGGATCGAACCTGTGTCTCTTACATCTCTTGCATTGGCAGGTGGACTCTTTACCACTAGTTCCACATGAGAAGCCCTCCATGAATGTTTAGAAAAACAACTTTGGTCCAGGGTCTTCCCTCGCCAGGTTCCCAGGGAACCTGGGTGTGTGGATGTGTCAGGTAGGAGGTGACACTCCCTAGCCTTTTTATTTTCTTCATGACTCCTCACCTTCCTCCACACTCTCCTCCACCCTCTGCATACAGGCAAATGTCCCAGAATTTAACCTGGTTTTGTGTTTGTGAGGAAGGGATTGACGTATATTTGCCTGTTTCAATAAGCAATCATTGGCTTTCCACCAGGAGACAGACCTCAGTCCTCACCAGTCTGTCCCACCTCTGATGTGCTGGGTTCAAACGCTTGGAATCAGGGTTCACATTTCCTTTTCAGTGTCCGCACGGTTCACCCCATTTTCCTTGGGCTGGTGGGTATTCAGAGCTCTCCTTATGACTCTCCTTGTCTCTGGGCGTCCGTCCCCTCTAACCCACTCTGCGCCAGCTCTAAATCTACCAGAAGGACTGCACCCACCCCATGTGCTTCACCACCTTTAAAAGTAAGGGAGAACTGTGCCCTCCCCTTCATGGCTGCCCACCTGCTCTTCTCATCTCTTATCCCCCTGCTCCCCTTCGCTCTCTGCTCCAGGTATCCTCACCTGTTCAATCACCACCTGCTACGGCAGTGCCTCTGCAGCTCCCCTGCCAAATTCTTCGTCAGCAGAAACTCCACTCATGCATCAAGGTTGACCTCAAGTCTAGTCCCTTCCATGAAACCATTCCTGGTCCTCCCCCACACAGATCTCTGCTTCCTTTGAACTCCTGTGGGGTTTTTTGTGACCTTTAGCACATTCTGACTCTCCGCTGGGTTACATAGTACGTATGTGCTCCTCTCATTCCTCTCACTGGCTCCCAAAAACCTTGAGCTCCTTTCTTCCCAATCCCTTCACCCCCACAGCCCTCCAGGGCACTGTGCCTAGCATGTAATAACTAATTTTGAAACACAAAAGAGGTGAGAGGGAATAAAGAAATAAAAGTCTGATGCATGTTCTTGAACCAAGCAATACCAGAACAAAACCAGTTTTAAACTAAGCAAAGCTATTATTTGCTTTGTAATTAACTTATTTATTTAAAAAAATTTTTATTGGAGTATAGTTGTTATGGTGTGTTGGTTCTTGAGAGCAAAGTGACTTGGCTATACGTATACATGTGTACCTTCTTTTTTGGATTTCCTTCCAATTTATGTCACCACAGAGTATTGAGTAGAATTTCCCATGGTATACAGTAGGTTCTCATTCGTTTTCTATTTTATACATAGTTTCAATCCCAATCTCCCCGCTCATCCCATGCCTCCTTTCCTCCTTGGTATCCATACATTTGTTCTCTATGTTTGGGTCTTTATATAGTATTCTTTGTTATTGGAGTACAATTGCTTTACAATGTTGAGTAAGTTTCTGCTGTACAATGAAGTGAATCAGCTTTATGTATACATATACCCCCTCCCTCTTGAGCCTCTTTCTCACCCTGCTCCTTTCCACCCCTCGAGGCCATCACAGAGCGCAGAGCTGAGCTCCTGGGCTAAACGGCACATTCCCACTAGCTAGCTGTTATACACATGGTAGTGAATGTCAATCCTAATCTACCAGTGCATCTCAGCCTTCCCTCCCCCGACCTTCAGCTGTGTCCACAGGTCCGTTCTCTATTAATACTCAGTTCAGTTCAGTTCAGTTGCTCAGTCTTGTCCGACTCTTTGCGACACCATGAACTGCACCATGCCAGGCCTCCCTGTCCATCACCAACTCCCAGAGCCTGCCCAACTCATGTCTACTGAGTCGGTGATGCCATCCAATCATCTCATCCTCTGTCATCCCCTTCTCTTCCTGCCCTCAATCTTTCCCAGCATCAGGGTCTTTACTCAGCAACTAAAAGGAGTAAATTAAGGTCATTTGTAGAGATGTGGATGGACCTGTTATACAGAGTGAATTAAATCAGAAAAAGAACAACAAATATTGTATATTAATGCATATATATATGTATTATCATTTAGAGAAAGTGCACAATTAGATGGATACTCTTAACTCCTGTAGTCTTATGTTTCTGGAAACATCTACATCTTTTCTTCAAGGCTCTGGAATCCATTTCCAAGTAATAACCTCCTACAAAGACAGTTACAAAAGTTACCAAGAGATTTATTCTTGGAACCTTTCCTTGACACTTGAGATTTCTCACTGGGGAGAGGAATGGAGTGAGCTTAGAGAAGACAGAGACTGCTGCTGCTGCTACTAAGCCACGTCAGTCGTACCCAACTCTGTGCGACCCCATAGACTGCAGCCTACCAGGCTCCTCCGTCCATGGGATTTTCCAGGCAAGAGTACTGGAGTGGGGCGCCATTGCCTTCTCCGGAGAGAGGGTGAGGATGAGGGTAAGCCCATTCAAGCACAGGACTGAGATCTGGCTAGCTATTAGTTCCTAGTACTGGGGGCTCTTCCACAAACATTCGAGAGTACAGACCCCACTTATTTGAGTGGCACCAAATAAACAGGGCAGAGAACTAAACTTGGATCCTCCATTGTGCAATAGGAATAAACATTTATCACTTAGATTCACTATCTTGTGATCACATGATCCACTTTTTGCCTCCCAGCAGTCCTTCAAAATTACCTCTGTTATAGAAAAACTGGCGTTAAGAGAAGTCCTGAGTCCTAAGGATGATGGGTGGATGCATTCCATCTGAACTACAATTTCTGTTGCAAAGAGCTAAATTGATAAGCCTGCAGAGCCATCTTATCACTTCCACCATCAGGAATTCTGTAGCCAGATGCAAGTCAAAGGAATCTGGCAGCACTCAGGACTGAAAGGACAGAATATTTCTCAAAAAAAAAAAAAAAAAAGATTTATGCATTTATTGGTTGCACTGGGTCTTCATTGCTGCTCTCAGGTTTTCTTTAGTTGTGGTGAGCGGGGTCTATTCTTCGCTGTGTTGAGCAAGGTTCTGATTGCAGTGGCTTCTCTTGTGGAGCACAAGCTCTAGGGCACTAGAGCTTCAATAGTTGCAGCCTGTGGGCTCAGTAATTTCCATTCCTGGGCTCTAGAGCACAAGCTCAGTCGTTGTAGTTCACTGGCTTAGTTGCTGGACAGCATTAAGGATACTCCCGGAGCAAGGACCGAACCCGTGTTCCCTGCATTGGCAGCTGGATTCTTATCCACTGAGCCACAGGGGAAGCTCCAGGGCAGAATATTTCTAACACATGAGAAACTAAGAAGTTACCCTGGGCATAACACTTCACCAATGTTTGCCTTGCTTTCAACATCTGGAAAATTAAGAATATTTCTAAAGTAACTAGCTTTCAGATACTTTTATGCGGAACAAATGGAATATGTGCTTGGTGATTTCTTTACTGCTAGCTAGAAAGAGAAATTCCAGATCTCCAGGGGGATTAGGAATCCAGATTGAAAAGAGGTGGTGGCCTCCCAGAATATTGGAAATAAAAGCAAAAATAAACAAATGGACCTAATTAAACTTAAAAGCTTTTGCACAACAAAGGAAACTATAAGCAAGGTGAAAAGATAGCCTTCAGAATGGGAGAAAATAATAGCAAACAAATAAACAGACAAAGGATTAATCTCAAAAATATACAAGCAACTCCTGCAGCTCAATTCCAGAAAAATAAATGACCCAATCAAAATATGGCCAAAGATCTAAACAGACATTTCTCCAAAGAAGATATACAGATGGCTAACAAACACATGAAAAGATGCTCAACAACACTCATTATCAGAGAAATGCAAATCAAAACCACAATGAGGTACCATTACACGCCAGTCAGAATGGCTGCTACCCAAAAGTCTACAAGCAATAAATGCTGGAGAGGGTGTGGAGAAAAGGGAACCCTCTTACACTGTTGGTGGGAATGCAAACTAGTACAACCACTATGGAGAACAGTGTGGAAATTCCTTAAAAAACTGGAAATAGTATTGCCATATGACCCAGCAATCCCACTCCTGGGCATACACACCGAGGAAACCAGAACTGAAGAGACACGTGTACCCCAATGTTCATCGCAGCACTGTTTATAATAGCCAAGACATGGAAGCAACCTAGATGCCCATCAACAGACGAATGGATAAGGAAGCTGTGGTAAATATACACAATAGAATATTACTCAGCCATTAAAAAGAATACATTTGAATCAGTTCTAATGAGATGGATGAAACTGGAGCCCATTATACAGTGTGAAGTAAGCCAGAAAGATAAAGACCCATACAGTATACTAACACATATATATGGAATTTAGAAAGATGGTAATGATAACCTAATATGCAAGACAGAAAAAGAGACACAGATGTATAGAAAAGAATTTTGGACTCTGTGGGAGAAGGCGAGGGTGGGATGATCTGAGAGAACAGCATCGAAACATGTATATTATCAAGTGTGAAACAGATCGCCAGTCCAGGTTGGATGCATGAGACAAGTGCTCAGGCTTGGTGCTCTGGGGTGACCCAGAGGGATGGGATGGGGAGGGAGGTGGGAGGGTGGTTTAGGATGGGGAACACATGTAAATCCATGACTGATTCATGTCAATGTATGGCAAAAACCACTACAATATTGTAAAGTAATTCTGTTCAGTCAGTTCAGTCGCTCAGTCATGTCCCACTCTTTGCGACCCCATGAATCACAGCACACCAGCCTCCCTGTCTATCACAAACTCCCGGAGTTTACTCAAACTCATGCCCATCAAGTCAGTGATGTCATCCAGCCATCTCATCCTCTGCCGTCCCCTTCTCCTCCTGCCCCCAATCCCTCCCAGCATCAGGGTCTTTTCCAATGAGTCAACTCTTCGCATGAGGTGGCCAAAGTATTGGAGTTTCAGCTTCAGCATCAGTCCTTCCAATGAACACCCAGGATTTTTCTCCTTCAGGATGGACTGGTTGGACCTCCTTGCAGTCCAAGGAACTCTCAAGAGTCTTCTCCAACACCACAGTTCAAAAGCATCAATTCTTCGGCACTCAGCTTTCCTCACAGTCCAACTCTCACATCCATACATGACCACTGGAAAAACCATAGCCTTGACCAGATGGACCTTTGATGGCAAAGTAATGTCTCTGCTTTTTAATATGCTATCTAGGTTGGTCATAACTTTCCTTCCAAGCAGTAAGCATCTTTTAATCTCATGGCTGCAGTCACCATCTGTAGTGATTTTGGAGCCCCCCAAAATAAAGTCTGATACTGTTTCCACTGTTTCCCCACCTATTTCCCATGAGGTGATGGGACTCCAACTAATAAAAATAAATGAAAAAAATAAATAAATAAAAAATTTAAAAAAGAAAAGAGGTGGTGGGTCTAGGAAAGAAAGTTTATCTCTTCCCTCTTTACTGACCCTTTCTCCACTTTTTCTCTCCTTCCATTTAGAATTGCCCTTGGAACTTCCTTGGAGATTCAGTGGTTAAGACTCTGCCTTCCAAGGCAGAGGGCATGAGTTTGATTCCTGTTCGGGGCACTAAGGTCCCATATGCCACAGGGTACAGGCAAAAATTAAAAAGAAAAAATAGAATTTCCCTCTCAGCCTTCTATATTCCCATAGCCCTTGCTTGTTCAGCACGTATTTAGCCATAAAAATACCAAAGGGACCATTACCAAGGATAAAAGGGTAAATTAAACAGAAAAATACAGTGATTTTAAATTTATATTCATTGATAAAAATAGAACAATCCTAAATTTGTATGTATCTGATATCTTCAAAATATATTTTCAAAAATGAATGAAATGATTGCTGTGTTCTTTTAAGGAAACTAGCTAGGGACCACTCACGGAATTTTGATTGGTTTCTCTTGTTACAGTTTTTCTACAGTTCCAGCTGTCCCCTTGGCCAAAACAGATATTTGGCCCAAGGATGTGGGTATTCTTGCCATGGAGGTCTACTTTCCAGCCCAGTACGTGGATCAGACAGAGCTGGAGAAGTTTAACAAGGTGGAGGCGGGGCGGTACACTGTGGGCTTGGGCCAGACCCAGATGGGCTTCTGCTCGGTCCAGGAGGACGTCAACTCCCTCTGCCTGACGGTGGTGCAACAGCTGATGGAGCGCACGCAGCTCCCCTGGGACTCCGTGGGCCGCCTGGAGGTGGGCACTGAGACCATCATCGATAAGTCCAAGGCTGTCAAAACAGTGCTCATGGAGCTCTTCCAGGATTCAGGCAACACTGACATTGAGGGCATAGATACCACCAATGCCTGCTACGGTGGCACTGCCTCCCTCTTCAATGCTGCCAACTGGATGGAATCCAGCTCCTGGGATGGTACGTGCTGCCAGAGGCCTTATGTAAGAAGGGAGCTGGGGTAGATGCTGAAGCCTCGATTTTGCTTCTCCGTTCCCCGGGTAGGTTCATCCACAGAAGAAAGGACACATTACACACACAGATGTTGTGATCATCCAACGACCACAGGGACAGCAACCCCTCAGACTTGGATGGTTTCATACAGTTATTCAGGGAGCGTGTTCACATAGCTATTCACTGAGTCCTCCTCACACCCTAGGAAGTGGATGTCAGACCTGTTTTATGGATGAAAAAAATGGAGAATCTAATAATTTACATGTCGTGTGTGGCGGGAGCAGGAAACCAAACCAAATTCAGTATATTTCCCACTTCAGTACTCCTGTTTGTCTAAGGTTTCTCTTAAGTCCCTAACGGACAAAGAGATTGGTGATGTTAAAAGGTTTAAACAAGTACAGGTGTCAAGGAGAAAGCACCCTGAGAAAAATAGACCCAAAGAATCGCAGGATAGACGACGACACCGGGTATTTCTGCTCCCTCTCCCTTGCCTGGTTCCTAGGAGAATCAGAAACCTAGCTTTAGCAATAACTAATGACAAGTCCCTTAGCCTCTGAGAGACTAGGAGTTTTCCTTTGCCTACCTGCTTTCCAGGGCTAACAGGACTAAACATGGTATCAATGGAGATGCGACAAAACAGCTCCTGAACAGACAAGGCCCTCCATTTACTAAGTTGGAAATTAGAACTTAAAACTTTAGAAACTGTAATAAGCATTAATTTAAAAATTAATTATGAAAACTTGACGTTGGTGGGGACCTTAGAGATTATCTAATCCAGTACTCCTCATAGAGGCCAAGAAGAGTTTAAGGGCTTTTCTCTGTTCGTGCAGCAAGGCAGTACAATTCCATACACCAGTTCAGTGTTTTTCCAATTGCCCTGCATGGCCTCACCATTAATAGTTCCATTGATTTGTGATGTTCCAGACTTGACATCCTCAAATCTGTCCTTACAGTGCTCTTGCTCGGTATTTGTATTATTACCTCTCCAGCAGCCCCTATTACCAACACCACCAATCTGTCAAACCAAGCCTTTAGTTAGAGAGTACAAATTAAAGACGAGGGACACTCACCAGCCTTTAGTGAAGAATCAGAGCCTATATTTGGGGGCATTATCAGCTTTAAGCATGTCATATCAAATGAGTAGATTCTGCTGAATAGTTGGGTATTCCACAGGAGAGGGCTGCGAATGCATCCTTCTTTAATGTGTTGTCTTCTTGGGAAAAATATTAAACAAACATTATGAAGTGAATTGTTAGTCTGTACTTTCACAAAAAGCATATTTAAGTTTGAGCCTAATGGCAACCTCCAAGAACAGACAAGGTCAGTGTAGATGTGATTTCTGCTTCTGAACTGGCCAACCATCCACCTAGGACCTTTAGAAGGAAGGAGGTGGTTCTGGAGCTCACCAAGAAGTTTTGAACCACTCCAGAGAGACAGCAGGGTATGGGGGAAGGAAAGAGTGGTACTGGCTTGTACTGCCTGAGAGACCTCATTTTTCCTTGCCTTTTATTATGAAGGTAAATGAAACCTACAGTGTATATGTATATATGTGTGTGTGTACACAGATGGACAAAAGTGTTCAAATTAAAGAAAAAATACTTTTTGACACTCCATTACCAATTCCCAGAATTTAATCCTCATAGTTTCCATGGATTCTTTCAGAAACTTTCTATGTATGTACCTGTAAGCGTATACTTATATATTCATATTTTAACATTGCACGTTATTCCTCATCTTTACTATGTCTTAGAGGTTAGTCCATAGATATCTCTAGATCCATATAGGGTCTACCTCATTCTTTTAAAAGACGTTATAAATTCTATTGATGGGTACACCAAACCTCAGTCCCATATAGATGGATATTTAGATTGTTGTATATTTTTTGCAATTATTATAAAAAGTGTTAATATTTAAGACAGTAGCTTTGCATGCTCATAACTATATGTTGTAAGAATAAATTCCTAGAAGTGGAATTGCAGGATTGTTTAATTAAAAAGTTTGATAGAATGTGCCAAATTGCTCTTCAAAATGTACTAACTTGTTGGAATGTACTTTCTAACTTCAAACTTTCTAATCTTTGTCAGTTTAATAAGTAAAGTATAGTATCATTGATTTTCCTTTGTTACTATAAGAGAATTTTGATATTCTTATGATTTTTATTGGCCATTTTCCTATTATAGACTTTTCTGATGAGACATTTATCTAAAGGAAAATAATTTTTTGTTGGCTGTAAGTATTATAAATACATCCCCAGTTTGTCTTTTGTATTTCTAATAGAAGGTTTTCATTTTTAGATAATCAAATTTACTGATCTCTTCCTTAATGGCTTGTATTAATAAATATTCTTCTATAGTTTCCAAACTTTATATAACATATAAATTTTGCTTATATATGTTATGTTTATTTATTGTATATTTATCTTATACTTCTATATATTATTTTTATATTCATATATATAAAATTAGGGAGAAAAAAATACTGTTTTGTTGGAGTGGTTAAGCAATCTTATCAGAAAATTCTTGGGTTTCAGTGAATTTGGGTTGGAATTCTGACTAAATCCTTATCTCATCATCTATTAGTTGTGTAACTTTAGGCAAGTGACTTCCGTTCTCTGGGCCCCAATTCCTTTGTCTTTAAAGAGGAGATAACTGTTTCCAACAGGTTAGGTAGAATACCAAAAGTACTGCCATGTCTTTCCACATACCTACATTTAGGAGCAAGCAGTATTAGAAGAAGAAGTAACAAATAATATTCAAGACAACAATTATTTATTGAATAATCATCTGCCTATTATAGAAGTAGCTTCATAGATCATCTACATTAAATGTGATTACTGAACATTAATTCTTTTCACAAAGAAAGTGGTACTAGGTTTTTCAAAGCACCTTGTTTAGGATCCAGTCAGAACTGAGTTTGAATACAAAATTCCATATTCACTAAATAGGTGACCTTAGACAAATTACCTGAATTCTCTGGAAGGCAATGTCCTCCTCTACAAATGTGGACATTACCTGACTCAATGGATTGTTTAAAGGATTGTTTGAGGATAACTGGTGTCTAGAATTTCAAATATTAGTTTCCTTCCCATCCTTTGGCCTTCTGTGATTTGGGAAGAATTTCCACTATAGCACTACAAAGAGTACAAACCTAAATTATTTTCAAAAGTGCTAATTTATGAATTTTTTTGTTGAACAAATGAGGAATTTTTATAGCCTGAGTCAGAGAACACAGAGTTTTGACATTGCATTTCCAAAGCAATGTCATTTACATTTCACTAGAGTGTAAGTTTCACGGGGGCAGGAATTTTTATTTTGGTTCAGTGATCCATTGCCAGTACCTAAAATTGTGCCTGGCATAGAGGAGGCTTTCACTCTACTGGAGATTTGGCAGTAATAATAATTATTTCTTTTCTCTTTACAGGTCGCTATGCACTGGTGGTCTGTGGGGACATTGCCGTCTATCCCAGTGGCAACGCTCGCCCCACAGGCGGGGCTGGAGCTGTGGCAATGCTGGTTGGGCCCGAGGCCCCTCTGGTCCTCGAGAGAGGTTTGTAGTAAACTGTGCAGTAAACTCGGTACGAGGGGACTGCATGACATGGCCAAATGCTTAGCTCTTAATTCCAAACTGGCATATTCAGGGCTGAAGGATGGACTTGTGGATGAAACTGCTTGCCTTCAAAAGACTAGTCTGGGGAGCAGAGGGCAGGGAGAAAGGGAAGAGAAGGATCAGCAAGGTGGCTTCATCTACACCATCACACATCAGGATAATGGGGTTTGGATTGAATGGCATTTGTGCTGCTGACAAGGACCCTTTGGGAGCTAAACTGACCATTGAAAATGAAAGCAAATAATTGGATATAAAGTAAGAGCTGTCCTTTGAGACTTTTGGAGTCTGTTCCAGATTTCTTTAAGCCCATATAGGTGTGGAAATAGAAATATACATCTCACTTATAAAAAGGCATTCATTTAATTAAGTCCCTTTGAACACCTGAGGATAATCAGTGGGCCTTGGGCTTGGGCATGAGACAGATAAAGACCAGGGGGCTGCTTGTACATGGGTCTCCCACCCTCTTTGCTCAATGTGGGTTCCACTGTGCAGTTTCTGAATCCCTCTGTGTGCCTCACCAGGGCTTAGAGGAACCCACATGGAGAATGTGTACGACTTCTACAAGCCAGATGCGACTTCAGAGTACCCACTGGTGGATGGGAAGCTCTCCATCCAGTGCTACTTACGGGCCCTGGACAAATGCTACGCGTTCTACCGTCAAAAGATCAAGAAACAGTGGAAGCAAGGTATGGGGCTCAGAGGGCTGAAGTCACGGACTCTCCTTACATGAGGCTGAGAGCGTGTCCTAAACTCTCAAGACAAGGCCTCATTTCACCTCTGCAAATGATCTCAAGAGAATTATTTCACATCTTCTTCTTACATGCTTCCCTGGGTCTAGGCTGAAGTCCCTTTGGAAGTCATCCAAAGTCAAGTATGAAATTGCCTTTAACTTGAATTGAGTGAAAGAAAGTAAACAACCCTAACCTACCTCAAGCCTGTAGGTGTCAACCACCTGGGGAGGTAGTGTGTGAGTCAGAGTGACCATGGCTTGTGGATGACAGGATTCATTTCTGTTGAAGCCAGGAGTGATTTGACTCAATTTATAGTTTGCCACCTTTTAAAGTCTGATTGATGTTGAAAACTCTTACCTATATTTTTAATATACTTAAGTGTTATCAGTAATTTTCCTTCTCTGCATGGTAGCTTTGCAAGTTAATTTTATTTTCACCTTTGGTTTCTGAGGTTTTCTGCTAAAAAATATGTGCTGATTTCATAATCAGATAAGAAATAAATCTTATTTTAAAAATACAGAGAAACTTACCTACCTTAAAAAAAATAAATAAAAAGGTTCTTATCTGTTTGGCTATGCCTAGCTGGGTGTCTGAAAAAGGCAGGTTTCAGCGTGGGAAAAGGCATGTGCTGACGCATCAGAGCACAGATGCTCTAGGGGTGGCCTAAAGCATCTTGGCCCTTTCCACTGCGCTGGGTGGAATGCAGTTTGCCCCCATGAGAAAGGAGTCAACTTAGACCTCTCAGCCTCTGTCCACCCATTGTAAAATTGCTACTGGCTAATTGGTAGCTCAGATGGTGAAAAGTCCACCTGCAATGCAGGAGACTTAACCCGTGGGTCGGGATGATTCCCTGGAAAAGGAAATGGCAACCCACTCCAGTATTCTGGCCTGGGAAATCCCATGGACAGAGGAGCCTGGCGGGCTACAGTCCATGGGGTCCCAAAGAGTTGGACACAACTTAGCAATTAAACAACAACAATTGCTCTGGCACTCTCTGAACTCATGACATTTTAATTTTACCCCTCATTCTCATATGGAATTTGATCAATGCTGCTTTGAATCTCAGCACCAAACTGTAAACTTCCTAAGGAGAGAGGGCACATTGCTCTTCTCTTTGGAGTGAAAGAGGGTCTGGAGTGTAGAGTCTGAGACACTGGAACCTAAAGCCAAAATCAGCTGTTTTCAAGCTGAGTGACCTCAGACACGTAACTTAGCTTCGTATTTTGGAGACCCTGTTTTCTCCTCTGGAAGATAGAGAAAATAATACAATATGAGGTTGATTTGAGGAATTATCTGTCACAGAAGTTGGCAATGGCAGAAAGGAAGAAAACATTTACTTCTTTTCCTTTTTTTATGAGTAGTGTGCATGCAAAGTCACTTCAGTCCTGTCCGAATCTTTGCAACCCTATGGACTGTAGCCTGCCAGGTTCCTCTGTCCATGGGGATTCTCCAGGCAAGAATACTGGAGTGGGTTGCTGTGCCCTCCTCCAGGGGATCTTCCCGACCCAGGGATTGAACCCACGTCTCTTACATCTCTGTGTTAGCAGGCAGGTTCTTTACCACTAGCACCACCTGGGAAAGCGCTTAGTAAAATGCTTGTAAAATGAACAAGCTGTGTGTTGACTGTAGGTAGGAGCTCATTCTCTGGGAGGCCTTAGAACAGGTAGATCTTGGAAAGGGTCACACTGCATCCTTGCTTTCACACTTCTTCTTCCAGCTGGCATCGATCGGCCTTTCACTCTCGATGATTTGCAGTATGTGATTTTTCACACGCCTTTCTGCAAGTTAGTCCAGAAATCCCTGGCCCGCCTGATGTTCAATGACTTCCTGTTGGCCAGTGGTGACACACAGACTGGCATCTACAAGGGGCTGGAGGCCTTCAGGTGAGTCCTCTTCAGGAGGAGCCCAGAGGCTAGGAGGGCTGAGAAGGAAGGGGCTCCCTCATGCCTTGAATCTGGATGACTAGCCACTCCTGTGGGATAAAAACAACAATCCTCTAACATAGTAGAAATGACATCAAGTCCTCGTGTGGGTTACTGGTTATTGTCTACATAAGGACCTCACCTTGTATCTCAGGGAGCAGAGGGACCCTGCTGGCACCTGTCAATCAGGTGACTTGAGGAAGTTTCAGAGAATAAGAAAAAGGGAAAGTGAGTGTGCCTAATTCATTTGGGTAATAAACATGTTATGAATATCAACTGTGTGTCAGGCATCATATGAAACTCTAGGGACATAAAAGTGGGTGTGACTCCATGCTCCCTGCCTAGAGGATCTCACAGTCTGTACGGAAACACCTAGAAGCAAATAATCACAGTGCAGGATGGCAACTTGGGGAAGGTCTGGTCTCATTCTCACTTGCCATTGCCTTAAAGAATGTCTAACTTGTTGCCTCCACCCCCTCATCTATGAAAAAGGGATAGTCCAACATACTCCCCTTCCTTGGATGTCAATAAAGCAGGGAGAATGCTGTTTATTGATGCAATACTCCAAGGCATTTAGAAAAAAAGAAACTTTGACACAAAGAGATCTCATTGGGAAGGGAATCTTTCCCTTTCTTATTGGTATCTTCTCATTTCAAGTTTTAGAGTTTTCTACCAACATTTGTCCCCACTTCTAACTACTACCGCTAACCCTGCTATTAACTAACCAAAACAGCAAAGTTAGCACAAACACTACTTCTAATACTTGCCCCATGGAAAAAATATTAACATATACCAAAAATAATAGGCTAATATTTTTAATATATGAAAGTTTCATGAGTAATAAGATAAACCCACTAAATAGAAGATATGGACAAGAAATTTCCTCAGGGAAGAAATGCACATATGCATATTTTTTAATGTGCATGCCCATTAGTAATGCATATAAACAGGTTAATTTTTTCTTTATGTGTGTGCTTAGTCACTCAGTCCTGTTTGACTCTTTGCAACCCCATGGACTGTAGCCCACCAGGCACCTCTGTCTCTGGGGATTCTCCAGGCAAGACTACTGGAGTGGGTTGCTGTACCCTCCTCCAGGGGATTTTTCCGACCCAGGGATTGAACCCAGGTCTCTTGCATTTCAGGCAGATTCTTTACCAACTGAGCTAGGATGGAAGCCTAATGTTTTCTTTACATAGCCTTTAAAATTTTTGAATACCCAGACTTAAGGCTATGAGAAAATGAACAATAGTGGACGGGTTTGGGGGAGTAATAGGGAAACATAAATCAAAAGCCTTAAAGATGTGCATAACTTTTGGCTCAGTAATTTCACCTGTTTAAAAGAACATGTAGTTATTTCTCAAAAAAGCGGAAAAAAAACCCCAAAAACCTACCACATGACCCAGAAATTTCACCCTTGGGTATACATTTGGATAAAAAAGCAACAACAACATTAATTTGAAAAGACACCTGTACTCGGATGTTCAGATCAGTATTATTGACAATGGCCAAGGTGTGGAAGCAACCTAAGTGTCCATTAATAGATGAACAATGGAAGAAGATGTGGTTTAGATATACAGTGGACTACCACTCCATTAGACAGATATCAGGCTTTCCTGGTGGTTCAGCAGTAAAGAATCTGCCTGAAATGCAGGAGACACCAGAGACGCAGGTTCCATCCCTGGGTCAGGAAGATCCCCTGGAGGAGGGCATGGCAGCCCACTCCAGTGTTCTTGCCTGGAGAATCCCCATGGACAGAGGAGCCTGGTGGGCTACAGTCCATGGGGTCACAAAGAGTCGGACACGACTGAGTAAGCACAGACAGATATCAGTGGTACACTCCAACAGATATACAATGGTATAAAATAGGCTACAAGGATGTATTGTACAACATGGGGAATATAGCCAACATTTTGTAATAACTGTAAATGGACAATAACTTTTTAAAATTGTATAAAAATATTTTAATTGAAAAAAATATTTGTTTCATGAAAAAAAAAAAACCATGTAGCTATTCAGTGCCTCAACTAATGAGGATAGACATGGGGAGTTTGTTTAAAGAGGACTACATCCTATCATGGTCTACTTGGCAGTCTTTAAAAATAATGCTATAGGAGATGATTTCATGTTATAGAGAAAATTAGTTAAGAAAGCATGCTAAAAAGAATGTATAGCTTGGTGTTATTTTTCAATAAACTATAAAAGTTGGAGTGGATTCCATAAGAAAACTATGACTGATGCTCTCTCTCTGAGCGGTAAGACTATTAGTGACACTTCCTCTGTATTTTCTGTATTTCCAAATATTCTATAATAAAAAGATGTGTTCCAAAGTCTTCTCTCCAGTAGCTATTATACTTCCTGCTTGCTGCCTTCTTCCTTCATGTGGCTTCTCATATGGCCTATTCCTTTGACTGCCTCACAGGGGGCTAAAGCTGGAAGACACCTACACCAATAAGGAGGTAGATAAAGCATTTCTAAAAGCCTCTCTGGACATGTTCAATAAGAAAACCAAGAACTCCCTCTACCTCTCCACGTACAACGGGAATATGTACACCTCATCCCTATATGGATGCCTGGCCTCACTTCTGGCCCAGTGAGTACTGTGTCTGTCCCCACCTCCTCTTACTCTGGCCTCTGGTCTGAAGGGTCAACCGAGTTTCATTCCTTTTCTCATACAGGATTTTTTCAAAACAGAAAGAAGGAAGGAAGGAAAATGAAAGAAATGTATTTCAAAGGTGTAAGTGTGGGTAGATTGACCATCAGTATTAAACAGTGGTTCTGTGGTGGCTCAAATGGTAAAGAATCTGCCTGCAATGCAGGAGGCCCAGGTGTGATCCTTGGGTAGGGGAGATTCCCCTGGAGAAGGGGATGTCTACTCACTCCAGTATTTTTGCCTGGAGAAAGCCATGGACAGAGGAGCCTGGCAGACATAACTAACACTTTTTCCAAACTGAAATGCATGTATCATGCCAGCAGATGTGGAAGATCTATTTGGATACATCAAGAAAATAGGAGAACTTTTATGCATATTTTTATCTCATCCATTTAAAATGTCTGTACTCAGTAAAGCATTGTGATTAAGAAAGTCTAGCTTTTGAACCCACAATTTATGTTTAAATTTCTTTACCACTTACTAACTTTGACCTTGGAAAAATGACTATTATGGTCCTCATTTTTCCCAACTATAAAATTTGTATAATAACAATACCTACTGTCTAAAATTTTGATGAATGTTAAATATCAAAAGCAATTAAAACAGTTAAAGCTCAGCAGGTGCCCCAGTGTTAGTTTTTATTTTTATAGATATTCAGTTTTGTGGAGTTTATAAGAAAATACTTATAATATAGTACATGTATATAACAAAAGAAAAAATATATACAAGTATGATTGGACTTGTTCAGATTATTACTAACGAGGAGATAACTTAAAAATTTACAACTGCTGAAGCATTGCCAATCAACATGGGAGCCTTGAGGTGAATCCAGTGGTCTGATCCCCACTTGGAGGTAACTACAGAGTTCACTGAATTCGTCTTGTCTTCATGGGTAGGGGGAAGTTCCTTTTATACCCCCAGAAATTCTGTTGTGCTCACTGTGACTTCTGTATCTTGGATTTTAGCTGTTCTCCTCTTGGCAAGTTTTCACCCTTTTGGGCCTACTCCCAGGATTTTCCAAAACTCCCTCTTTGTGTAGAGTGCCCAGAGCCCATTCCTAGTTGCAAGAGATTGACTAGATTGGTGGTTTATTTGCAGAGCAGAATGTAACCCTGATGTGTTTTCCTGGGCTTTGATTTCTCTCCTTGTAGTCACTCTGCCCAAGACTTGGCTGGCTCCAGGATTGGTGCCTTCTCTTATGGCTCTGGTTTGGCAGCAAGTTTCTTTTCTTTCCGGGTGTCCCAGGATGCTTCTCCGGGTGAGTCCAGTCTTTTGATCAGGCACTTCTGGCCAGTTTTGTCTGGTAAAAGAAACCATTTTCTGCTTCACCACTACTAAAGCTCCCATCTTGACAGAATTATGTTGTGACTAAGAACAAAGGAAAGCCCTGAAGGGACTTAAGCAATAGACTGGGTTTGTCTATTTTATGTATTCAAAGCACTTCCCTGGCTACTGATTAGAGACTAGATTGTTGAGGAACAGAGATGTATATGGGGAAACCAGTTAGTTAGTTTCAACAAATAGTCTAGGCAAGAGGTGGTCATGGTTTGATTACAACTGATTAAAGAAAAGTTGATGGGTTTGAAATATCCAGTAAACATGTGCTGATTATTTTATGACGGATGTAATCAAGGGCGTACATCAAAGCACTAAATGGGATACACCTTGGCTAAATGAAGGTTTGCCTTAGTTTTTGCTAACGCTGTGTTTGATGATCTTGATCATTTCTTGACATTCTAAGCCATACGCTGAGCACTTTTCCTTGGAGCAGCAGCTTCCACAGAGCTGACTCTATATTGGACTCGTGATTGGCAGCAGTGATGACAAAGATGTAAGTTTATGGGTCTGCTTTTGCTTCCCAGGGTCCCCGCTGGAGAAGCTGGTAACAAGTACATCAGACCTGCAGAAACGTCTTGCCTCCCGGAAGCGTGTGTCTCCTGAGGAGTTCACAGAAATAATGAACCAAAGAGAACAATACTACCACAAGAGTAAGAAAAGAAAGGTGGAAAGAGAGGAGGAGTAGGCAATTTTTCTCAGCTTCTATGCCAGTAGCTGAGTGGCAGGAATTCATCAGAAGTCTAGAATATAGCAAGTGAGAGTGATGATTTCTATGATATATGATTGGGAAAAAGGTTTGTTTGGTGCAAAGGGGGACAAACTGGGGAAGCAGAAGGCAGACTTGGGAAGAGGTAGGAGGCAGCATGTGGCTTCCCAGTACAAAACATAGATAGCCACCCAAAACAGGATACATACTGGATAATGAAGTCCCATGGAAGCCAGATGTATGGTCTTTGAAAATACTGATAGTATCTAAGCATTGGTTGAAAATGCCCAGACTTTGGAGCCAGAAATCCAAGTCAAAATTGACCTATGACACTGGCCCTCTATTTTTGAGAAAATTATTGAACTTTTCTGAATTGCTTCCTTTCTAAAACCATACCAACTTTGCAGGATTGCCAGAGATTAATGAATTAATTAATGAATGATGTTATTGGCAAATTCTACCGTTTCCTTCCAATCGCCCCCTTACCTTACCAAATATAAAACAAACTACTGCCGCCAAAAAGCAACAAAGGAAAAGTAAACCAAAGCTAAATTTAAGACTGGAGAAACCAAAGGGTGATTTTTAAACCAGGGTAACCATATTTTTTTAAGCAAAACTGGGGACCCATGATTTGCACTGAAAAGAAGACTGAAGTTACAGAACTGAGAATGTTCCCAAAAAAACCTAGACTTAGTAGTTAGTCAGTTTTTATCTGGAACCGGGGACAAGTTAGACCAAAAAAGAAGATATTAATATAAAAATAAGGCCTCTGAGATGAATGTTAATGGACAAAGCTTTGAAATACTACAGAGAATCAGAATTGGAAAACTTCGGGCTAGGAAGGAAGTGCCTATTAGAAAACAGGATGCTCTGAGGTACCCCTCAAGGTCAGTACCTTCAGTAGAAGGACATGAGGAAGATTTCAATGGAGGATTTCCTGTTTACTGTAGGAAAGCGATATATCCTATAATAAAATTTCTAGTCAACAAGTCTTAGGTACTAGCCGTAAGACAGCTGCTTCTGGTTCTTCTGCTATCCCGGAGCTCTGCTGGGTGCAGACAAGGAGACCTCACCACCCCTTGGAGCACAACCAGGAGAGCTCCACATGAAGCTCTAGATGTCCCTGTTACCATTTTCTCTTCCTCAGCCCCATAGAGCCCTTTGTGAATACTGCCTTCCTTCTCGTTTCACAGTGAACTTCTCACCACCTGGTGACAAAAACAGCCTTTTCCCAGGCACTTGGTACCTGGAGCGAGTGGATGAGCTTTATCGCCGAAAGTATGCCCGGCGTCCCGTCTAAAGGTGGTGAGTGAAATTATGGAGTATTAGTGGCTTAAAGTTTTCCTTCTGGGCAACAGATGCAGTTCTTTTTTTTTTTTTCTTTTTTTCACTTCTTTTATATTTTTATTGGGAATGTAATTGCTTTACAATGTTATGCTTGTTTCTGCTATACAACAAAATGAATCAGCTCTATGTATACAGATATCTCCTCCCTCTTAGACCTCCCTCCCACCTGCCAATCCCGATTCCACCCATCTAGGTCACCACAGAGCACCTAGCTGAGCTCCCTCTGTTATGTAACAGATGGAATTCTGAGAGCTAAAAGGCCAGAGAGTTTTAAAAAAATATTCACAACCTAAATGTTGAGAGTTATGTTTTATTTGGTGGGAATTTTTAAGACTTCAAGTCTGGGAGTCAGCATCTCAAGTAACTGAGAGAGCTGCTCCGAGGACCAGGTTATATAGAAACTTTGTAATGAGAGGTAGGGAGTCTGAACTTCAAAAGATGATTGCTAACTGAAGAAAACCAGATATCCCAAGTTAAGGAGCTTGGCACTTTTCCGACTTTTCTGGCTTTTCAGCATCTGGAAAGATGCAAGAGTATGGGCTCACTGAAATCATTCCTTTGATATACACCTCAGCTATCTAGGGCTAGGTATCACAAGATTTCACACGTTTCCTCAGGGCTCACGTGAGAGCCTGACACTGTGACACCCTTTGTTTACTCACATGACAGGCAACGTCCCATCCGTCAGCAGCTTTCAAAACGGCCGGAGGTGGGGAGTTCGCACCATGATGACCAAGTACAGCTCTTGGGGTTCTTTGCCTACAAAAGGCAAGAGCTGGGGGACGGGCGTGTCCTTAAATCTTGCATCTGAAAAAAGACTCAACTTGTTCATCTGATCTCCTCCTGATAAGAAGGTTGATGGCATTAGAAGCTTGATAGAAACAAAATTAGCATCTGTAAAGGGAAGCGGGATGTGGAACTCAGTACTCCGAAGGGGGAGTCAGTAACAAAGGTGAACAGCATCAGAGAAGGCACGCACCAGTGCTGGAGGAGGTTCATAATGTAGCAGGTGCTGGGGATTCTGGGAGAGCCAGCTGGAGAGAGCCTTGGGCTAAGGGGCTGTGAGCAATCCCTCCTTCGTGCGATTTCTTCTGGGGAGAAACAGGGAGATTTGGGGAGTAAGTGGGGAGGGGTGTGAGGAGAGAGGAGTTTGATGGAGCAGGACTGAGTCAGAAAGAGAACTAAGAGAATTCTCTCTGGTACTATTTAAAGGAAAATCAAAGAGTGGGAATTAGAATCCTGTAGTTCACCCACCCAGGAATCTGCCTTCAGTTTATCTTCCAAATTGGTAAGATAAGCAGAATGGAAGAGCAAGAAGCAAATTCTTTTGTGCCAAATGTTTTTCTGGTTTTTACATTTTCCCCCGACTTTGGAATATGAAGGGGGAAGACTAAAAAAGCTTGCCAAGACCAGGGTAGGGAGCAGGGAAAGAGAAGGAAGTCCCAAGTAATGAGATACCCAGATAAAAAAGGGCAACTGCAAGTAAGGCGTGTCCTCTGTTCACTGCGAACCACTGCCAGCATTCTGGCCCCTATGGGGCAGTTGAAGTGTGGCCTGAGATATTACGGGCGAGGCAGGGTGGGCAAGGGGGCCGACAGGCCAGGCAGCAGGCTCCACAACAGACTCTTCAGACTTTGGCCCTACCTGGGAGTCAACTGTTTGCTTATCTGTTATGTTTGTGATATAATTCTTAAGGGCAAGTCAGTGGCAAAGAGGGAGTCATTAACTATATCAAGCTACTTCAGTCAACAAAAACAGAGAGAGGGAGGAGAAAGAGAGAGAGAATTGGGAGTTTTCAAGGGGGAGTTTCCAAATTAGGTTCCCTCTGCTCCTGGTCCACAAGGTTGTGAAAGTCACTCAGTCATGTCTGACTCTTTGCGACCCCATGGACTGTACAGTCCATGGAATTCTCCAGGCCAGAACACTGGAGTGGGTAGCCTTTTCTTTTTCCAGGGTATCTTCCCAAACCAGGTCTCCTGCACTGCAGGAAGGTTCTTTACCGGCTGAGCCACAAGGGAAGCCCAAATATACGGGAATGGGTAGCCTATCCCTTCTCCAGCATATCTTCCCAACCCAGGAATCGAACCAGGGTCTCCTGCATTGCAGGTGGATTCTTTACCAACTGAGCTATCAGGGACGCCCAGTCCACAAGGTTAGGCAGCATTGTATCTACGAAGAAAAAAGCTGGAGCTCATCCTCGTCTCACAGGAATAGCGAGCCTACACCATGAGATGTTAGCTGAAACAAAGATTTTATGTCAGCATGATGCTCTGCGGAGCTCTGGCTCTGCACTGCCCACTCTCCTCTCCCTTCACAGACAGGACATGTCATGGGGACCTTGCCCATCTCGCAAACTTGGCTCCTGGGGCAGTGGGCTCAGGGCACTCAGGTGTCTAGGTTTGTTGCTAGAGGGTGTTGGCTTGAAAAATAGCTACCACCTAAAAGTTGAGAGTTATGTTTTATCCAGTGGGAATTTTGGGGACTTCAAGTCAAGGAGACAGCATCACAAGTAAACGTGAGGGAACTGGTCTGAGGAGGTGAGAGAAGAAGCCAGATTATGTAGATGTGTTTTAAAACAAAGGGCAGTAGCCCGAGCATCAAGAAATTATTGTTAAAGAAAGCAGATATCCCAAGTTAAGGAATTGAGCTCTTTTCTATGCATTGTTGTTGTTGCTGTTCAGTTGCTCAGTAGTGTCCTTCTCTTTTGTGACCCCATGGACTGCAGCATGCCAGGCATCCCTGTCCTTCACCATCTCCCAGAGCTTGCTCAAACTCATGTCCGTTGTGTCAGTGATGCCATCCAACCATCTCATCTTCTGTTGTCCCCTTCTCCTCCTGCCTTCAGTCTTTCCCAGAATCAGGGTTTTTTCTAATGTGTCAGCTCTTTGCATAGGGTGGCCAAAGTATTAGAGCTTCAGCCTCAGTCCTTCCAATGAATATCCAGGACTGATTTCCTTTAGGATGGACTGGTTGGATCTCCTTGCAGTCCAAGTGACTCTCAAGAGTCTTCTTCAACACCACAGTTCAAAAGCATCAATCCTTTGGCACTCAGCCTTCTTTATGGTCCAACGTTCACATCCATACATGACCACTGGAAAAACCATAGCTTTGATGATACTGATAGTGTCTTTACTTTTTAATATGCTGTCTAGCTTTTCTTCCAAGGAGCGAGCATCTTTTAATTTCATGACTGCAGTCACCATCTGCAGTAATTTTGGAACCCAAGAAAATAAAGTCTTTTACTGTTTCCATTGTTTCCCCATCTATTTACCATGAAGTGATGGGACCAGATACCATAATCTTCATTTTTTGAATGCCGAGTTTTAAACCAACTTTTTCACTCTCCTCTTTCACTTCCACCAAGAGGCTCTTTAGTTTCTCTTAGCTTTCTGCCATAAGATTGGTGTCATCTGCATATCTGAGGTTACTGATATTTCTCCCGGCAATCTTGATTACAGCTTGTGCTTCATCCAGTCCAGCGTTTCTCATGATGTACTCTGCATATAAGTTAAATAAGCAGGGTGACAATATACAGCCTTGACATACTCCTTTCCCTATTTGGAACCAGTCTATTGTTCCATGTCCGGTTCTAACTGTGGCTTCTTGACTTGCATACAGGTTTCTCTGGAGTTAGGTAAAGTGGTCTGGTATTCCCATCTCTGTAAGAATTTTCCACAGTTTGTTGTGATCCACACAACCAAAGGCTTTGGTGTAATCAATAATGCAGAGTAGATGTTTTTCTGGAATTCTCTTGCTTTTTCTATGATCCAACGGATGTTGGCAATTTGATCTCTGGTTCCTCTGCCTTTTCTAAAACCAGCTTGAACATCTGGAAGTTCTTAGTTCACATACTGTTGAAGCCTTGCTTGGAGAATTTTGAGCATTACTTTGCTAGTGAGATAAGTGCAATTGTGTGGTAGTTTGAACATTCTTTGGCATTGCCTTTCTTTGGGGTCAGAATGAAACTGACCCTTTCCAGTCCCGTGGCCACTGCTGTTTTCCAAATTTCCTGGCATATTGAGTGCCACACTTTCACAGCATCATTTTTTAGGCTTTGAAATAGCTCAATTGGAACTCCATCACCTCCACTAGCTTTGTTTGTAGTGATGCTTCCTAAGGCCCATTTGACTTCAAACTCCAGTATGTCTGGCTCTAGGTGAGTCATCACACCATTGTGGTTATCTGGGTCATTAAGATCTTTTTTGTATAGTTCTTCTATGTATTCTTGCCACCTTTTCTTAATATCTTCTGCTTCTGTAAGGTCATACCATTTCTGTCCTTTGTTGTGCCCATCTTTGCATGAAATGTTCCCTTGGTATCTCTAATTATTTTGAAGAGACCTCTAGTCTTTCTTACTTTATTGTTTCTGTGTATGGGAAGATGCAAGAGTCAGGCTTACTGAAATCACTCCTTTCATATGCATCTCAGTTATCTGGGGCCCCATATCCTGTGTTTTCACATCCTGAGTTCCTCAGGGCCCCCTGTAGGCAGCGGCTTCCCCTGATGTCTGCCAGGTATTCTTCTCCTTCTTGAGTGCCCTGGAAGGCTGGAATTGCTGATGACTGTGACATCCTTGCTTATCGATGTGGCAGGAAATACTCCATTCCTCAAGGGACAGTGGACCACCCAGACCTAAAGATGCAGTTTAGGAGAGCTCGCCTTCGGCAAGGAGCAGATGTGGGAATGGCATTGCCCAGGGTGAGACTCATGATTGATGTCCTTCTTTTGTTTCTTTAAATTTTACAGATCTGTGGAGAGTTGCCTGGGAAAAGTGCTACAGAACATCTGCCCTCTTTCAACTGTAAAACCCCCCACTCTTAGCTGGTAAATAGATTGCACTGGACACAGCAGCCTGTCAACACTGGCCCCATGGAGTGAGGGGCCATCCTTAATGGGTCCTTCTGCCTTTCCCTGCTGCAATCACTGTCACAGGCTTGCAGAGCCCTCTGTGAA